CTTAAATCGGATTAGTGTGGTTTGGTTGGATTGATCGATTTTTAATATTATTAAATATATAAGATACTATAAAAATATTTTAACATCAAATAAAAAACATAATTATAAAACACATTAATATACAAATCAATAAAACATAATAAAAAGTACAAATTAGAAACGAGTTCTTATACTCCTTTACATTTGTAAAATTGAAAATATCTAAAAATTCTTCTTGGTTATATCACTAAAGGCACCAAGAACAATAAAAGATGATTTCAAATTTCTAATACCGCGTAAATAATTTTTAAAGATTAAAATTAATTTTTTTTAATGTACTAATAATTTAATCTCAACTTTTAAATTTTATTAAAAGTAAATAAAATTTAACTTGAATATCACTAAAATTGATTAGAAGCATTCATAATCAAAATTTAAAAATTTTAAACCAAATATCTAAGAATAGTAAAATATCAAGACTAATTTTATTATATAATTTTATGGCTTTTAGAATGATACTTATTTAAAATTTAGTTAGAAAAATCATAAGATTATTTTAAGAATAAATTATAAATTTAGGATTCTAATAGTAAAGGCGTAAACCAGTTCTGAAGAGATAGAGTTGTAAGTGAATTAGAAATTTAGAATTAGGGTTAGAGTGTATGATTAAAATGAAAAAATAACTTAGGGAATATGAAAATGTTTTATTTTTTATTTTTTAATTAAATTAATGGAGTTATTATCTTGTAAAATAAGAAATTTTTTTTTAAAATACTACAAAAAATATATTATATTATTTAATTAAGTTATCTTGTAATCAGATTTTATTTTGTAATTGGACAGTTCGAGCGGTTTGAAGGTAAAATCATAAACCAAACCAATTATATCAATTTTAAAATTTTATAATTTAAACCAACCCAATTTTATATCTGTTTGGATCGGTTTTTTATTAGATTAGATCAGTTTAAATCGGATCAATCGAATTGGATCGGATATGAACACCCTCGAATAGAAACACCATATCTCTTTGAGAGAGAGAGAAAAAAAAAAGGAAAAAAAAAAAAAAGGGAAGGTAAAAACAATCCAAACATTCCCTTAACATGGTTATAAAGAGATACCATGTCAAATTTAGGATCGTAGGTGGGGTAGGGTATTTTTTATCGACTTTTTAGGTCAATTTGTAGAAAAAAAAAAAGGGTGAAAGAATATTTATGAAAAGATTTAATTACCATTAATAAATTAATATTTAGATGTAATTTATTAAATATATTTAAATAATTTTATAACTATTCTCACTTATATATATATATATATATATCAACTTGAAAAACACTTTTATGTTGAAATTAAAGAAAGATCTCTAAACTAAAACCATATATTTAGTTGATTTTTTTTGGAGTTGATCTTTTTTATATCTAATGATCAATTTGTTTTCTTATTTATGGGATTCGAAATCAATATTTTATTTAAAAAAATTCAAATTCTTTTCACTTATATGAAGTTGTTAGTATATATTTAATTTATATTTGATCTGAAATTGAGGTTGAGATAATGAAAAGAGGTTTCCAACTAAAGTTAGAAGAAACTGAATAAAAAAAAATGTTTCGAAACGATTATGTCTGAGTTTTAAAAATTGAAAAGTCAATTAAGTAAAAGAATAAATTTCATTTACCAAAAGAAAAAAAAAAAAAAAGAGAATAAATTTCGGCAATAAAAGGGATTTGAGATAACTGATCAACGATGCCATTTCTGTATCCAAATCAGTCTCATACTGTAATATGATTCCACTTTCCTTATCCAGAAATGTCCTAAAATACTCCCCAATGATACTACACTACTACTAGTATAATGCTGATTTTGTGTTTCTGAATGAACCCAAAATGGAGAAGGAACGCAGCAATCCTGAAGAAGAACACACTTTCTCTTTGTTTCAATTAGATCCTGTGTTTCTCCAAAGAATTCTTGCTAGGAATCCTTCTCTAAGGAGGAATTCTTCGCATTACTGCGGGAGTCGCATCGGCGACACTCCTTTCCAATGGGAAGTGCAGCCGGGCACCACAAAAAATCCACCCAACAAGGAGGGAGAGCCGCCCATACTCATGCCGGTGAAGAAAACTTCTGATGAATTCGGGTTTTTTGATTCAGATGCCGATGATGGCAAGTCCTCGTTTGATCTTTCGGGATCTTCGTCGTCGTCTTCGTTGTCGTCAAATCTGCCGCCACCACCGCCGCCCCCTGCAGTTAGTCCTCAAGTCAATTTTAAGCCTTGGATTGCTCCGATACCTAGAATATCATCTTTTTGGAAGAAAAAATCTTCGAAAAAACATCATGGCAAAAGGGCTTAGGCAAAATCAAGAGGGTTACAGCCATTTTCGCTTTCATTTTTGGAGTTAATCTCCATAGCTTCGAAATTAGTATTAGTTTAGGTATTCATGTATTACTACGTTAAAGTACAGTATATTTATGAATTTATTAATATATTTTTAATAAATAATCGGTCTATAAATTACTTTTTGATTAGTTGTATGTTACTTGTTTTATATGCACTCTGTTTAAGTACTAGGACTTGGTGGACATTCCTACTTGAAAATATTTGTCTTTGAATTGGTTTTTCTAATTATTATTAGCTTTCAGATGACCATTCTAAAATTAAGGTGTCATATCTTTTATTAATACTTACAAAATATATTGCTTGTAGGGGGGATTGCACCCCACTTAAGTGATCATTTTTTTGTTTTCAATGGAGTATGGGACTGTGTTTTCTCCCTTTTGAATGTAGATTGGGTTTTGCTAACTGTTCAGAATTTGTGAATGGTTGCACTATTTCTTCTTCTTCTTCTTCTTCCTTTTTCATTTTTGGTGAAGAACCATTCTAATTATAAAGATATTATTCATGCCTTAGACTACAAAATGTGAAAGAATGAATTGTCTCTCAATTAACCTCCTAAATCATGGAACATAACAATTAAGCTAGAGCAATTATATAATATCAATTAAAGTGATATTAAATGAGTTAATACACCACCTTTTAATAAAAAGAAGACTTAGACTTCGTTTATTATTGCAGTGAAGTGATGTGATAATGACTTTTTAAATATTTTATTATCATAAAAATTACTATAATTTTAATTAACATTAAAATTAATTTAATCTAAATAATTAGCACCTTTTGGTAAGGTGCAATGTAAAAAAACACTGTTGAATTGTAACCTCAAACACAACCTTAATCATAAATATTAAGGGAGTGTATGTTTTGACGTTTTGTAAATAACTATAAGCTATTAACTTTATTCTAACTATAAGCTATTAACTTTATTCAAACATATTAGATATATTGAATTATAAATAATAATAATTATTAACTATTAAAAAATAATTATAAGTTATATTTAAACACCTAATTCAAACATCCTACAAACCTATCACATAAATATTAAGGGAGTGTATGTTTTGACGTTT